CCTATTCCCAAAGACACAACATGCGCCACAACGGTGGGCCCTTCTAGTAGGAGACGCTGCTGCATACTGAATTCCTTGAAAAAGCCGGCCAGCTGCCTTGGAATCATGCATAAGCAGGGCATGAAAGTCCACATCTTACTGGACTGAGCAAGCAGTGAGCAAGTGCCCACAGTATTTGGAACACATGGAATGGATCTTGCTTGTCTGGTGCATGTACGAGACACACTGATAATCTGCGCTCGGTAGTTTAATAGTTCAAAGTGAAGCGCGTCTGGCGCTGCTAGTTGCTGTAGTGCGGTCTCGAAGTCTGAACGCTGCATTGATGCACGATTACGGCGTGCCGGCGTGCCGTAGCATATTCTAGCATAGTACCGTATGGTGAAGCATAGCGTAGCATAGCATAGCATATGATAGTATAGGAGATTATGGTACTATACTGTACACTATACATTATGTACACTACACACTACACACCATATGCCATACACTGTACAGTATATACCACCAACTAAATACTATGTGCTAAGACTATACTACTAGTTAGATAATTATTACTAGACACTATAGATGCTATAGATCTCGATGCTAGATACTAGATACTATACACTCTACACAATACACCGTTACACTGTTACACTGCACACAATACGCCATACCATGCTGTACTATAAAAATTACATGGAGATTCCCCTTGGGAGCGAAAGCTGATTGCTAAGCTCTTCCTGGCTTGTCGCGCCACTTGTGACGGCTGCCTAGTTCCTGCACACCCATAGGCCCCTAAGTAGTTCCTTTTTCTGGTTGATATTTAGAATCCTATAAGGTAATCCCAAAAAGGAACTACTTAGGGGCCTACCGGCAGACCCTTGAATATGTGGAGATGCCACGGGTCGGAACGGTCTCGGAACCCTACCCCCCAAACGCAGCTGTTCGTGTAAGCGTCTTTGGTGAAGTGCCATCCGATAGTGATAAGAGCTGACAAAGGGTGATTGTCCAGATAACCATAATAATAACAACAATAATACGAATAATAGTATAGTAAAAATAATAGTAGTAGCAATAATAATACTAATAGTAATGCTAAGATAAGTGGCGAGGAACGTTTTCGCAGACTGGCGGCTGCACTGTTGCCAAGCTCTCTACAAAAAGGCAGAGCCACAGGAAGCGAGCTGTGTTCCTTAATGTACCAAAACCTTCCGAAACAAAAACAGCCAACGGCTAAAAGCAAAACACCTACCAGCTGCCAAGCCCAAAGATCATCTTCGCGCAGATGCATGCTTTCTGCCTCAACGTGTTCAGAGTGTATTCATGGCACCACCGCCAACAACAGCATCAGCGATGATCATGATTATGATGATGATGATGATCATCATCATCATATTGCTGGAGCAAGAAACGCAACAGCACCGGAGTGGCCAAGAACTACCACCGCGCCAGTGTGTCCTACTACTGTCCTAATTACTACTACCACGGAGTTGATGACGACGTGCTCGAAGACTCAAAAAGAATCGAGTCAAGATTGTAACGCAAACGACAAACTGACGAGTCAAAAGCTAAACGGTGAGACGCCTCCTGTGTGTCTGCGCAATGACTAGGCTGAGCAAGCAGCTTCTTGAAACTCGGACGTTAGAGCAGTACAAATCTGCACCTGACACAGCCACTACCGACAGCGGCGACTACATGAACAACATACAGATCCATAAAGGATACGGTAAGGGTTGCTACAACACAAAGTTACAGTAAGTTTCATCTTCAGGCAGCCGCTCGCAGCAGTGATTCACTACATGGTGCAATACGTCATCAACTGATAGCGGCCACCTGTGTAAGTCTCAAAACAAGCCTCCCTGGCAGAACGGTCTGAGCTGTGCTACGTGCAGCATGCACTCGCTGAAACCCGGAAAATCCTTCACAAAGAACCCGGTGGCCCCGGCGCGTAAGCAGGAGTCACAGGCTTATGCATTGCTAGGTTTATGTATTGCTACGGGGGCCTCATGAAACATCTAGATTGATGTAGGAATTTGAAACCCCTGGGTCATCCTGGGTCTAACTCGCCCAAAATATCGTGATCCGGAAAGCGCTGAGAGTTTCTGAATCGGGTTCCTGCATGAGGACTGCCCGGTTCGCTTGGATACTCAGGTTCCCAGGTACTTTCGTGGCTTGGATGTCAGATTCGGAGCAAATAAACAAGTTTGAAGGGCATAAGTGCAAATGAGTCTAGCCAACAACCTGCCGTGCCCGAGGTGGCCGGGCCCTGAAACGAAAGGCGTCAGTCTCCATTCTTGAGGACCTTAGCAGGGTCTTGGTGCAGAATTCAAGGGGGTTTCGCCTATCAGACACGGTCATTCCAGGCGGCGCATCTACATTTAGGGTATGTTTGCTTGCCTCCGGCCTGGCTACGGCGCAGAGTGGTGTAGGGCTCGGGTACGGCCATTCCGACGCACTGGTGACAGCTCGAAGGGCATCTGGCGAGTACCGGTGCCATCCTGTAACCCCCAGCTGCACGGCATGTTTTGTTGCGCCCAGTGGCTTCATCTAGGCGTTTGGGCAGCATATCCTTGTCCACCAGTTGTCCGCTCGGTAAGATCATCCTCGGCGAACAGCTTTGGGGCTTGTGTTGACACCTCCCTGATCTGATCGCGGGAACTTACAGCCTGATCCTGCTTCTGAAAGCAGGAGATACATATGCATTTACGAGGATGGTATGTATTGCCATCAATAGATAGACCCATATGTGTCTACAGTACAGTAGGTTAGACACCTAAAGCCAAGAGGAAGCCTTGAAACCACCACCACACACACACGTACACATGTGTACGTCACACACACATACACATGCACACTCGCAACGCAAGAACGTCACTATTTTGCTTGTTATAAGACAAGCCGTTCTTGGGCGACGCCACTCCAACTACCGTACTACTACTGTTACCACCTCCTCTTCTTCTACTACTACTACTACCACTACTACTACCACGACTCCTGCTCTACGACTGCTACCACTACTTCTACTACTGCCACTACCACCACCACCACCACCACCACCACCACTACTACTACTCCTCGTACTACTACTA